AGGATTCGCTCAGCCCCATGGTGGAGAAGAAGAAGTACTGAACAATGCAGCCCACAAAGCTGATGGTTTGCTGCTCCTGGAAGAAGTTGGACAGCAACTTGGGGACTGTGGAGGTGACGTAGCAGAGATCGATGAAGGACAGATTGCTGAGGAAGAAGTACATGGGAGTGTGGAGGTGGGAATCCATCCTTATTAAAACCATGAGGGACAGGTTCCAGGTCAAGGTCATCATGTAGGTCAGCAGGAACATCACAAAGAGCACTGCTGTGATTCTGGGGAAATCTGAGAATCCCAGGAGGATGAACTGGGTGATCTCTGTGACATTTCTTCCCCCAGTCATTGCCTCCGTGCTCCTGGTATGAGAAAGGGGATAAGAGAATGTGGGGGTGACTCGGGAGGAAGCACAACATTACCGTTTTCATAGGTATCCGCCTTTTCCCCCAGTGAGTGCTGGGGAAGGGGACATGCTTCCCCATCCTTCTGGGAAAGGCTTCAGCTTTTCTTCTCACATTGTCAACAAGAACCGTTCAGTATTTCAGGTTTCCAAGTAATTCATGGAGTTCACGAGAATTAAAAAAAGATACTTAGAAATTTCACTGGCAACGTCCACAAAAGTGCCCTCCAAAGGCTGTGATGGACAAGTATGAGGTAGAGACCACTGATTGGAATAAAAGATTTTCAAACTCCCTCTGATAATGCATTCTACAACTACTGCTCCATAATCCTGAAAGCATAAGTGGTATCTTTCCAAAACAAGGTGAGACAGTGTTCTGTCCCGAATTGTCATTTTGTTAGATTTAAAAAAAAAATTTTCTTCTTCTACCCCTAAGAAAAATCTTTACCCTTCCCGCCAGCTGGGTGGGCTGGTGAGATGAGTTGGTTCAAAGGAGCTGGATGCAGCAATAAACTGAGAAAAATTCGAAGAAACCATGCAAAACAAGAACATGAGTTTCTAAGAAGGAGGGCAGGAGCTTAAGGGTCAGCTCCACGCTGGGCAGAGCTGGATAGGGAGCAAGAGAGAGCGCACCCAGAACCCCTCTATTTATTAGGGAAAAGACATTCAATAGAATATTCCACCCAAATAAGGCAAGAGATAGGGTTTTGAAAGGTGGAGTCTTGCTTTGTGATGTTTTATGGTCATCAGATTAATTGACATCTTGGAATGTCACACCCATCTCAGATGCTCTGTGGGATCACAAGCAGAGCGAGAGGAAAGCCACACTCATGTCACAAAGCCCAATCAGTGCGCAATGCCACAGTCCCCTCATATTCTCAAATGTGCATAGCTCACACACGCAGCCCAAGGATGGCTTGCAACATACCCTGTTATAAGAAGTTATGAAAGTTTTCCTATGAATACATTTAATGCAATATCCTAACTGGCCTGGAACATAATATCTAATTTATACTTCTGATGAGCTTTGTTGGGGAATAAGCATGTGGATCCCAAAATGTTATTTAAGAAACCCTCCAGGGCAGCCTTCACATGTGCTCCAAGGAGGAGAGCACAGAGCACTCTGGCCCCAAAGACTGTCACAATTTTAGAAAATTTTGGCTTTTGGGAAGCAGAATCATAATGTGCCTAAGGAAGGGACATTCACAGCATTGATGAGCCCTCCAAATATTTCTACATTTCTGGACCCAATTTGTTTTTTACAATCCCTCTCATGTGTGTGTCTCAGGGGTCTCATGCATACAGAGATCTAATGATACTTACCACCTCATAATATTACTGCATGAACTGTATGGTATAAAGAGATTAACACAATAAGAGCTCAATAAATGTTATAAATTATATCATCTCCAGTATCACTTGTCTCCATAAAAGAGGAAAAAGCAAGGATCTGATAATACTAAAGTATTGAGGAGCTCTTGATAAAACAATTTCCTTAATTAGGTGATCTCTAAGCCCAGACTCAAGAATACTGTTAAGAAATACTTCTATCTTTTTCTATCCTGTTTTACCATGTCATTTCTACCTAGCTGGATTGCAAATTCCCACTGCCACATTCATGTCCCACTACCACCAAGTACCCTGGAGCAGACAGCACTGGCTAGACACATTGCACAGACTAGTGAGTTTCACTACTCAACACTAAGCATCAGGTACACTAAGCATTTGTATAACTGAATATTGATTACATTAGTAAATATTTCTTTTACTCAGAGTTCAGTGTGAAATGAAGAGTATCTTATTTTAATTTCCATTATTATTCTATAAACTTGGAGATTTTTCTGTTACAGAATAGGGTGATTTCAACTTAAGTTTTCACATATTTTATACAAGATGAATTAAATTCAATGAAAATATTTTGAAATCATAAACTGGCACATACAACATCTCCCAGACACCCACAAAATTGTTCAATTCAATGAAAATAAATCAAATTGGAGATCCATCACCTGCACTGAATTTCACCATGTTCTTTACTGCACTGTTCATATGATGAGCTACACTGAAGTGTATTCTGTTAACTCCCAGTTCCCAGGAAAAAATGAGGAGCTGAGAAATGTTTTTCTTACTTATGATAAAATTTGTCCTGAAAATGAATCTTGTTAACAATTTGGTGAACTTGAGGAAATTAAAAAAAATAATTGAGTGTACTCACGTTTTTGGATAAATGATTTGCAAGTATTCGCTAACTCTCAGGATGACTGGAGAAGGAAAGCTGTCTGACATAAATATTGGTTAGGAATTTTCCCAGATGCACGTAGACAGCTAAGACCGTTTCCAGTTCTGATCTAATAAAGACAAGCTCAGTCTGAGAAGATGTGCGAGGAATTTTACAAAATTTTTCAAAATCAGATAAGGCCAGGAATGTGCCTGAATGAAGACTGATCTAAGTAAAACAAGGGGGACATTTAGATCAACACTGTTCGTGCCTAGAGAAGGCATCTTCAATATCTGTGATGCCCATGCTAGTGTCTGCAGACCCCCAGGTTCAGCAAAGCTGGCCATGGAGAGCTATTGGAAGATTTCAGAGGGCCTAATGAAATTCCCCTGAGTAACTGGGATGTCGTTAACACTGTGTCTCTTACTGCTCGGCAGTTATGAATCAATCTGTACCTTTAAGTGGGAATGACTTTAATTATTATTATTTCAAAAGCAAAATCCTGAAGTGCAAAACTGAAATGAAAAGGGTTCTCGGGTGGAGAAAATAGGGAAACATAGTAGATAAGCATGTTTTGATCTTAGGAAGTTCTCCAGGAACTCTAAATTATTAATTTTGATTTAGTGTCAATGACTGTGAGACTTCATGGGAATTGCCTTATTTATACTTAGATGTTCTCATTATCCTCATTTTACAAGAGCAAAACCAGAAAGTGGCAGAATTTAAGGTCACATCCACCAGAATTCAACACTCCCCCCTCCCCCCCAGAGTAATATCTGAAATTTCAGGTTTGAGATCGTTCTTTTCACTGAAGGGCAGAAAATCTGGCTAAGGAGAAAGATACAGAGAAAGAACCTTAAGTGCAGGGTGAGGACGTGAGGGACAGGGGGGAGGTGAAGAGTGGGAAAGACTAATTATACCTTGCTCCATGTGGGGCCTCCTCTAAACCACACGGACCTCAAGACAAGCACGGAATCTACTGCTCCAAGTCTTACCCTCTGACCTTGACTCAGGTCCCCCAGGAAGACAGTTCTTGTGTAAGGTTGTCACTGCCTCTTTCTTCTCCAAAGACCTTTCTGAGTGGGCCCGTTGCACTCCTGGCTGGGTGCTGTAGGCCATGAACCTGGCCCTCCACGCACAGCGAGTGAGTGGCCACACGAGGGATCCTCTTCAACGTGCCCCTGAGAGCAGAGGTGAGCGGAGAGAAGCCAATTAGAGGAGAAGGCATTGCCGGTCCTCGCTCTCTGGGGTCATGGTTATCATGGAGTTTTCTCCTTTGTTGATTTCATGTTCTTCTTTGCCAGGTGGATCAGTTCCTTACTTCCCTGTGGGAGTACATCATAGTCTGACAATTGTAACTTCTATTCCCCTGACATTGGAGAAATTTAAGTGGCAGAGGACATGGGGATTGTCCCCAACTCTCCACTTAGAGATGAAGAACCTGAGGTCAAGGATGTTAAGAGATTTTCCCTGGGTGGCACAGTTAGGTGGCAACAGCAGCATAATAACAATAAATTAGATGTGCATGTACTTCTGTGTTAACAAAACATTTTTATTTTTTATTTATATATGACAGTGGAATGCATTACACTTCTTATTACCCATAAAGAGCACAATTTTTCATATCTCTGATTGTATACACAATATATTCGCACCAAAAAAAAAATACCAAATGTTTTCTTTGTTATAAGGAGGCTGATACATAGTGGGATAAGGAGGGGGACCATGGGAGGAATAGGGCAGAGGGGTCGGAGGGGAAGGGAGGAGGTAGGGGATTATTAATTATGGTGGCATGTGATGATCATTATTATCCAAAGTACAGGTATAAAGACAAAATGTTTTTATTTTCTGTGGACACACACACACCTACACATTTCCTCAAACACCAGACCTAAATCAATCACTGCAGTAGTCCTGTTAAGTCAGACTTGGTATTATTTCCTATGCATATGTGAGAAAATCAAGGAATACACAAGTACTAATTAATGATAGAGACATAACTTATCTTGGTCATAATTGGTATTACATAATTTGGGTTGAAGTCTGGCTCTGCCCCTTGCTGGTGGTGTGATCTTGGACAAATGAACCTCTACACACCTCGGTATTTTCATCTATGAAACGGGGCTGACAGTAGTAGTAGGTTATTCATAGAGTAGTTCTGATAGAGGAAGTTAAAGATGCCAAAGCACTTTGAGCATGTCGTATTCAGTATGCCTTCTATTTATTAGTGTCACATACAACATTTGTGCTCTGGTTTGGAGATCCTTCCTACATGTTATGTTGCATTTCTAACCCTTAAAATCCTTTATTAGTATATTTACCTAAGATCATTCCTACAAATGTTGTGGTTTCTTTTTGGAGGAGATTTTGAGCAGGATGGAGGAATGTCATATGTCTTGACAGTTACTGTCAATAATGAGATGTTTTGGTCAAGGTCCATTGTTGATTTTCTCTATTTCAGCCAATATTACTTATAAAGAGAAAGAGATTGGTGAGGACAACTAGTTAATAATTTAAGTCTTGTTATTGGGTTAATATATATTTTTCCCCTGATAATAGTTTAAAATGTTTAGTCCTTTAAACTGAATAGCTTCTTTTTTTTCAACTTTTATTTTATACATTGAATCTGTACAACATGATATTGTGAGACACATGTATTGTTTCATACCTGGTAAAGAGCATGGCTTCAATATGTTATGGCCTCAATAAGTTATGGCATCAATATGCC